GAGCGGCATGAGGGTTTTGAGCCCATGTCGCTCTATCCTCTCTACACGACTGACTTCTTTGACGGCAAGCATAACGTCGTCTTGGGTGGTTCGTGGGCCACACATCCACGTATTGCAGGACGAGCTAGTTTCGTCAACTGGTACCAGAGGAACTACCCCTACGCATGGGTGGGAGCCAGATTGGTTCGAGATGTTTAAGCATCTAGACTAAAGCATTTGTTCCTATATATACGATTGGTTTCATATTATAAACGAGCCGTTGGGATGGATTATGAACTGCAGGAGTTTGATCATTCATATGGGCCCAGATTGCTACGAGAGGAATCTGAAGGAGGGCAGTCACTCCCTGAGAAAGCAAATGTATTATCATGACCATCTCTATTTACTCCTGTTTTTTTGAACTCCATACCGAAACCAGCTACTCTGTGATGATAGCAAATGTCGTCTCTTGCAACGTCATGACTTTCGGATACCAACCGCTATGTGTATCCGTTCCAAATTTCAGGGTGACACTCGTGAAATCAGCCATGTTAAGGGTTTTTCATCCTGTCCCAAAACCGTCATGAGCTCATATTTCGTTATGGCTCTTGATAATAGCGCAATCGTTCCAAAGAATGAGGTATGAATGAAAACACACCAGTTTGACTAACGTTAGAATGGGCGTGGCGCTGCCAGTGCTTTGTACGTTTCTCTCAACCGTTGAGACTACCATAGATATCGAGAAGCTGCTCAAACACGTAGCCAGGAAGCTTAATCCCATTCTCTGTAATGAGCTTGGAAATGAGGTCGGGGGGCTATTTAACTTGTTAGCAACTTGATCGAGAGATATAATTTGGGGGTCACGTACAGTAAAGTCGACAGCGTCGACTATATCCTTACTCTTGTTATCAATACTGAAGTCCAGAATTTCTTGCTTGAAGCCAATATCCCGTTGATCCATGACAAACTTGCGCGCAAACTTGTGTGTCTCGGCAGCAACGTAGAACGGTAAACCAGCTTGAGCAGCCAGCTTAGAAAGCTGAAGAGTACCCATTCGAGAGATGATACCACCGTTGGATGTGACAGCTTCAGCACCCACAATCACCATATCGACCTGGCGCAGAAGTCCCATGACATAAGCCACTGAAGCCTCTGCGATCTCAGCGACAGGAATACCCTTTGAGCGAAGCTCGCGCACTATGCGATCACTCTCCTCAACGCGGGTTTCCTCTCGCACGTAGATAACCTTGAACTTGGCGGCACCAAGGTTCTGCACCGCACGCTCCAGAATTCCAACCACTGATCGCGACGCACCGTGTGTGAGAATACATTGACCCTCGTGAATCAGCCTCCATCCTGCGTCTGCAATACCTTCTCGCGCGGCATTAGCACGCTGGGCAAACAGGCGTCCATTTCGGAGAAGATGTTGCCTCACGGCCTCAAAGCTGCCATCCTGTTGACGCAGCGACGAGACGAGGTACTGAAGAAAGAGATCTGTTCCGGCGGAGAGGGGCACGGGGTTCGCAACGGAGGCTTTGAGGCGATCGGAGTGCGCTTTGACGGTGTCGAGGATCTCGAAAACGGTGGTGGAAGGGTGGGCGTTTAGAAGAGCGATTAGGGACTCGATGGCGGCGACGGGTTTGGTGAGATATGGGTCCGAAGCAAGAAGGCCGCGGTAAGTTTCGACGATACTGGTAGGTTGTTAGAGGAGTGAGAAGCGGATGGGTTTAAAGACGGACTCGAAATCTGAGGTTGAAGAGGCCTGAGGTTGCTCGGCCAGAGTAGCGGCTTGGATGAGTTAGCAGAGAGACAGATGCTCGCACTAGAGAGTAGCTGACCTGTTGTATCGACCGTGGCCATTATAGAGAATATGCGAGATATCGGGGGGGGGTAGGTATCTGGAGTTGAGATGATACTATTCTGGAATTTTTGAAGGGTTTGGTGAGTCAATCAATCTGTTGGAGCTGGTTTGGCGGGGTGAAGTGGGGAGCGGGGCCGAAAGTGACGGCACTGCTTAATTACAGGCCGTTAACAGTTAAAGTCCCCTGTAATTGCCAGGTGATCGAGAAGCGTAGGTAGCTCTGATGTGCAGTAGCAAGCAACCTCTTCGATCTGTGGAAACAGATCAAATGCATGCGGCTCAGATCGAAAAAGAGTGCTAATTTCGTCTGGAAATAAGGCCAACCAGTTGCGTTGCATCGTTCAATAACGTGCTGTAACCTGTTGATATCGAGAGGTCGCCACTGAGTTGACTACCCTGCAGCTGCACCCCGAACAAAAGTGCCCCGCGCTGCCCCTCCACCGCTTCCGATCTCTACACACCTCTCTCCGTCTTCACTCCAGACCTCTCTATAGCTTTTGATCTTTGACTTTTATTCACTTCGACTTCAACAACTCAATTCACTTCAGTGCAAGCATCTATTAGTCAAAATCGATAAACATAGCTAAGAATGGAGCTCCTTGACCCCGCGACAGGCGCTGCCCTACCCAACGACGCCATTCAGCGCATCCTCTTCGTCGCCAACGCCGTCCACGTCTATAACATTCCTCCTCTCACTTCAACAAAGGGCTACTCTGCCAGCACATGGACCGCCGAACCCCAGCGCCATATCTTCACTGCCCGCCTGCGCGTCGTCGAGACAGCCTACGAATCCGAGTCGTCAACCAACAAGCTCAAAGTCGATGCCGTGCTGGAGGATGCTTCATCGGGTCAACTGTTCGCCGCAGCCCCTTATACCGCCCCCGGTGTTGTAGAGCCGGTCCTCGATAGCAGCCGCTTCTTTGCAGTGACGGTGCGCGATCCGCAGGGTCGAAAGGCTATCCTGGGAATTGGTTTCGAGGAGAGAAGCGAGGCGTTTGATCTGAGCATTGCGCTTCAGGAGGCGCGAAAGGCGCTAGGCTGGGAGGGCGAACAGAGCAAACCGGCTGCGACGAAGGAGAAGGAGGAGCATAGAGATTACAGTCTCAAAGACGGCGAGACTATCACTGTGAGCTTTGGCGGATCAAAGTTCGGTAGACGCAAACAACAAGATAGCTCATCTGGTTCGGGAGCTGGAGGTGATCTTCAGTCATTTGCGCTACCTCCACCACCTGCTGGACCAAGCTCGTCAGGCGGGTTCTCATTACCACCTCCACCAAGTGCAAATGCTGTGAAGCAGCAGAAGCAATCAGCTAAAGATCTTGGATTCGACGACGGACAGTTTGGAGAGTTTGCTTAAGGATTTCTCGGATAAATTGGTGCATCAGCGATATGATTTGAAAAAGAAAACACACAGTATATACACTAAGACATGCTAAACATTGAACGCCAAATTGATGCTACTAATGGTAAGTGACATGATGATAACTTGATATTATGGATCAACATGTATGATCGTTCCGTGGTTTTATATGATGCTTGAAAAATCAACACGATATCCGGTAACGCCTTTCAATTTGTGCACCGATGAGCCTAAACCTCAGGCCAAGCATTATGAAGACAGGGAAGACTGAGCCGCCTCTCCCTAAGCGCGACAAACCGCTCCTCACTCAACTCTTCTCCAAGTTCAGAACCATAGTCCTTCTCCTGAACGAAGGGTGCCACAACGTCAGTTGGAGTTGCTGGCGTGGTCTCAGACTCGGCGCTATCGCAGCTAGATTCAGGACCAAAGAGATCCTCTGCGGCCTCGTCGACGGTTTCTAGACCGTATGGCGTCGGCTCCTGTTGAATATATGGTGGTTCATAGGCCTGGTGCATATCGCCAAAGTAGCCCATAGGGGCAAAGTGCTCAGAATTGCCGCTCAAAGGTGTCAAAGGAGTGGTAACACCGTAGGAAACGGGACTGAAGCAGACGGATGATGCGACACTAGGGCTTTCGACAGTCCAGGTCTTTGCCCAAGTCTCTCGGCTCCTGATTTCAACAAACAGTTCCCCAAGACGGGAGAAGATAGCCTTCTCCTGTTCAGCGGCCTGGTTGGCCTTAGACTTCAGCAGAGCCAGCTGTTTTCTCAGCTTTCGCCGACCATTGTCGCCAACAAGGTTGTGAAGCTGCGCGTCCACGGCGCAATACTGTGCCATGAGATCTGCAGCTCTTGCAGCCTGCTGCTGGAGGCAGGACATAAGATATGCTCGATCTATATAGAGATTTTCAAATGGCCTGGGCGAAAAGATAAGATGAGAGTTGGCATATGGCTGTTGCTTAACACTCTCTGGTGTAGGACGGCTTTTGGAGCTGGAAGATCGGCGGCGTCTCCTCCGTGAGGAAGGACTGCAAACTGACGGTGTGTCTGGGTATGGTGTATCCGGAAGGGAATGAGGTGAAGGTGGGAGGATAGGGCATGTTTGTAACTTAGGAATAGCAATGTTTAGCTCCTCGGGAGGCGGAGTGATTCTTGCATCCATTGGTGGTAGCACCATGCTATGAGTTGTTGTAAAAGTTGTATTCATCTTGATATTTTTGAGTTTTTGTTAATGATAGTGGTAAAGAAGGAACATTCTCTCTGAGAGAAACAGCATCCATCATTAGTAGATATTCATATCTCTCATCCTCCATTGCCTCTCCACCGTGGACAAAGACCACTGCGAAGAGGGTTACACTGTACATGAGAGGGCTGTTCGCTTTGTCGCTGTGTTCGCCTCGACAAAGCGAAACAGCGAGTTCCGGCGCTTGACCTAGTGATTCTATGGAAGAAGGTTCTTCTAGTGAGAGTCGTTGGTTATCCTGATGGATCCGTGCCTGGTGGCCACACTTTAAACAGTCACCAACTTAAGCCGTCAATAAGACTCGTCAGTCTTGGCTTTTGGAGGCTGTTCAGTTGGCAGTCAGGAACATGAAAGAGAGGTCGGTGGGGTCTAGAACAGCAGGTCATCTGGTTTGCCTTCGCTCCATGTAGTTGAATAAGGTGGCCAAGCCAATTGCTTGTTCGGACCAGGAGGTGGCGTTGTTAGCCCCCGCTGTTGGCTTGGATTGACAGCCTCATAGCAAGGTTTGATTCATTTCCAGTGCAACCCAACAGTCAAATGAGAGGCGACTTGCTTCCCATCAGATTGCAAACCCGTCGTGGCCCGGTGGGTCGTTGAACCGCCATAGCCCAGCTTCTTCTGCGGCTTTCCTGACTGAGGAGACTTCCTGGGCATCGACAGCTCGGTTGATGTCTGCGTATCGGACCTCCTGCTTTTCTTCTTTGCCATCTGACTTTGCTCGCCTTGGTTTACCGACATGAGCGTCTGGATGATACTGCTCCATGATGTTGATGAAGCAATCTGTAGAGACCTCATCAGCGAGGAACTTCATGATTTCGGCACCTTCGTCCTGTTTGCCTGGCATAACAAGATGGCGAATCAGCAAGCCCTTTTTTGCTATCCCGTCTCCGGTGAAGCACAGGTCACCGACCTGAGCGTGCATCACCTTAATGCTCTCTCTGGCTGTTGCAGCGTAGTCATCGGCCTTCAGTAGCCTTTTAGAGGTGCTTGGCTTCCACACCTTAAAGTCAGCAAGGTAGATATCGACCAATCCATCCATCAGCTGCAGGGATGCAAGAGAGTCAAAGCTTGATGTGTTGTAAACGATGGGGACTGTCAGGCCATGGTCCCTGGCATGGAGGATACTCAAGGCCACCTGAGGGACAACATGCTCAGGTGTAACAATGTTGATATTGTGTACTTTTCCAACCTCTTGTAACTTGAGGTACCAGTCACCTAATTCCTCAGGGGTCAAGTCCATCCCGTTTCGTTGATGTGCGATATCGTAATTCTGGCAAAAGATGCAACGCATGTTGCACCCGCTCATGAAGACGGAACCACTACCATTGTGCCCCTGAATGCACGGTTCTGTATGAGTTTAGTCAGAGGCTGAATAGAAGAACATGATACACAGCTAACAGAGAGCTAAGGAGCTGAGATGCAAGGGAGTATCAGGTACAGCGAGCCGAGAGCAAAGCGCAATGGGCAGCAGATGGACTGACCTTCACCAAAGTGGGGAGCGATTGTATTGACTTTCGCCTTCTCTCCGATGAGGCACATGCCTGTCTTCTCGTACCTGTTTACGCCACATTCTCTCGGACATAGATTACAATTGCGAAGGTGAGCATACGCCAATGAACGCTTCTTAGCTGCGTCGCGGGAACTGAGTGTCATATATCGCGGAACATAGTCGTCAAGAAGGAACGGGGGAGCAAGATGAAGAGAGCGATTAAGTATCTTGGGAGCTATGAGAGTGGTTTTGGCAACATTGACAACGCATCGTCTTGATAGCGACAACATCATGGCTGATATCGCGTATCGATCATGGTGACAATTGGTTCATCTTGATTGGTGTTGAGCGATGTTGTATTTATAGGTGGCTTAGTCATCGCTTCTCCAGATAATGGAGGGCAGTTGCGAATGGGCAATCTTTCGGTTATCTCCTGAACCATTTTCAGAGAAAGTGCTTCTATGCGCTTCTATTTTAATAAAGGCGGCAACAACGGCGGTGTTTAGCACTTGTTATTTGCTCTAGCTCTCTAGGAGCAGCTTCTTGAGCCAAGTTACTACCCTATAACGAGAGACAAGAAATGAATCAAATGCACATAGCCACGAAGATCATTAAATGCTAGAATATCAACTCTGAAGGGATATAGAAAGCTCTCAAGGGGTTTTGTGAATAAAAAACATCCGAGCTTTCTTGTTAGGTAACGACTCCAAGTGTGCTATTGAGAAAGGCCGAGTCTCGACTTTGCCAGTTGTATGAACATGGGGATGTCATCAGATGATAATTCCTGAGAACACCAAAACCAAATGATACGTTGTACAACCGGAGATAAGGGGACCTAAGACCAAAGAAAATGGAGGAATCTGATGTGAATGCCTTGGTATACTGGCGAGTTTAGCAAGAGTATGGGTATACTAGTTCTATACCCAAATATAGAGATCGCGATACTACGATCCTACTTTATTGTAGACATATATGAGGGATGACAAAAGAATCCCGGACTAGTTTAGGACTTCTTTCCTGTTGGAACTTCCATCCTAGTTCTTAGAGACAAGATCTGGATGAGTTCCATCTGGTGGTTGTCTGGCAGTGGCAGATCCCCATAATGATTGAGTGTTGGAAATGCCTATATTCACAAGCTGGGCTTGTTTGTTCACTCTAGAATTTAGACGAGGTGGCGAGTTTACCGAAGAGAACTCTCTTCACATCATCTTGAGCATTGTCTTGGATCACTCAGCATCTTCTCTTCATTAGGTCGCCTGAGATGCCTTTTGGAAATTTCTGGTTGGCCGTTCTGGCCCTTATCTTTCTTCCCTTAGCTGAAAGCCTTCATGTAACCCCGGACATTGCAGATGAACAGCTACGCAATGTCTACGACTACATCATCGTTGGAGGTGGCACTGCAGGTCTGACCGTAGCCAATCGCCTCTCCGAAAACCCAGCAGGTACTTGACGCTGATAGACTCGACGAGCCTCGCTAATGGTGCTCTTATTAGTTTCGGTCCTAGTTCTCGAAGCTGGTCCTTTGTACGTCTCTCGCAACCCACTGGATCTCAACTGACAAATCGCATTTCAGGGATGACGCAAGAAACCTTTCGATTCCTGGAGGTCTTCTTCCTGTCCCGGGCACAATCGGGTCAGGTGGATGGCAAAAATACCAATGGGGGTTGTCCACTGAGCCCCAAACCTATCTCAACAATCAGAACGTGGGAATTCCTCAAGGAAAGGCTGTTGGTGGCAGTTCCATCCTCAATGGCCTCTGTTGGTCTAGAGGCTCAGTGTCTGATTATGATGGTTGGGAAAAGTTGGGTAACAAGGGTTGGTCTTGGAATGACCTACTTCCATACTTCAAAAAGGTAGGTGTGTAACCGGCCTTTGAGAATGAGGCTGATTTGTGGTAGTCTGAGAAGTTTACCTTCAATGTTGAGCCTCATGACGCTGAGGAACTTCACATTCGTCCTCAATCAGCTGAGCATGGGTACAATGGCTCAGTGCACGTCTCCTACCCTCAGTATTTCTATGACCAATCCTGTAAGTCATGTACGTTGTCAAAGCTTTCCGTGTTCTGACCAGGGAACAGCCAACGTTCTGGACGGCTTTGCGGAGCTAGGCCTGCCCATCATTGGCGATGTGAACAATGGGACAGCCGCAGGGGCCATGATACTCCCCTCAAGCATGCATCATGATAGTCAGACGAGGTTCGATGCCAGAGAAGCTCACTTTAACTCGGCATCTTCGAGGTACAATCTGCACATTGCAACCAACCAGACCGTTACACAACTTGTTTTGAATAGCAACAGTGGACACAACTCGAGTCAGAGAGTTATGGGAGTCGAGGTACGATCAGGTGATACAAAAGATGAGGCGGTTACTTATCCGTATTACAGTTCGCCCCAAACAACAAATCCAAGGCGAGATCAATTTCTTGTACCCGAGAGGTAATTGTTTCGGCTGGTGCGATCTTTACTCCCACTTTACTTCAGGTATCGGGGATTGGGCCGTCAGATGTTCTCAAGTCGCTCGATATTCCTGTCAAGATTGACCTTCCTGGCGTTGGATATAATCTTCAGGACCATCCCATGATTTATGCCAACTACTACTGTACGTCCCTCTCTTCTATCAGATTTCAGATACTGATGGCTTAGACCGCAATGGATCATATTTCACGAGTGGTGAGATAACCGACGATGTGTATGATGAAGTTGCCGAGGAGTACATACGGAGCAGAACAGGTAGTACACATTTCTGGAAGAGATGTTCGTTTCTGACAGACTTAGGTCCTTGGACAGCACCTCTCATAAACACAGTTGCATTCCCGAGCCTTCGATCTGCAACAGATGACTGGAAACAGTTCATGAACAAGAGTTCGGGGGATGGTATTCCCTCAAATACCCCCAACTCTGTGAAGAAGGGCTACGAAGTCCAGAAAAAGATTCTCCAAGACCAAATACTCAGCAATGATACAGGAATCTTTGAGACCATGGCCAACTCATAGGGGCAGTTGACTGTAGCTGCTCAAAAGACCTTTTCCCGTGGCACCGTCCGTCCCTCATCATCTTCAATCTTCGATCTGCCAAAGCTGGACCCACGATACTGCTCCGACTCAATCGATTGCGAGATTATCGTTCTTGGTCTCCAAATGAATACAAAGCTGATCCAAACCGACGCAATGAAGGAACTCATGCCTGAAGCGGAATCGGCGTTTGATACTACAGATCATGAGACGCTGATGAAGCATGTCATGGAAAAGATCACGACAGAGAGACATCCCTCAGGGACAGCAGCCATGATGGCTCTTGAACTGGGAGGGGTAGTTGACCCTGAGCTCAAGGTGTACGGCACATGCAATTTGCGTATTGCTGATGCCAGTATCATGCCCTTGATTCCATCAGCACACTTACAAGCTAGTGTCTATGCCATTGCTGAGAAGGTAAGATTCCAATAGTTATTGGAGACGAGCTAATGTTGACAACTGAAACAGGCAGCAGACATGATCAAATCAGCCAAACCGGATCGCCGTATTAGAGAACGACTTCCTTTCCCTCCCAGATCGCGACCAACCATCTGATAACATCCTCATGCTTGGATAGCACATAGAGATCAAACCAAAGAAAAGGTTGGTCTTCTGGGAACCGGGGAATTATTCTTCAAATTGACCTTGACGTTTTCTGGGTGAAATGGCCATAGATTGCGGTTAGACTAGGTAATGATAATACAGTGATTCTGCCTGTTCCCAGTATGCACAATAGCGAAAATTGACCATTAACTGGGAATCAATGTATGGCTTTAATATCATGCTGATAAGTTGTGCATATCTAAGACTATATCTTTCCAGCCGGTGAGCTTACTGTCCGTCAAAACTCCAAGACGACACCCGAACGTCAATTGACAATAAAGTAAATCTCCGCTAATCCTGTGGTTCATCTTCAACAGTTTCCGTGTGCTTTTCATACCAAGCCAACTGATCAGTCATGCGCTTGATCTCTGAATTCTGGACAGCCAATTTATCCTTCAGCTCAGCCATCTCACGAATCAGGAACTGATTCTCGGACACCAACTTGTCCGCTCTCTCAAGACGTTCTTTGTTCTTTGCCTCGATGGCAGACACCCGCTCTGGCCAAGTTGGAGTCACGACGGACACCACGGTAGGTCTCTCTTCCATGAGTCGTGTGTTTTCAAAGCCAGGATGCTGTTCAGCTGCTGGTATTACAAAGAGAGGAGACTGATGGCCCTTGCCCTTGATGCGATAGAAGCGAGTAAGGAGATCTATAGGGACAATGCCTTTGGCGTAGACTTTGCCGCCTCGTTCTTCGTTCCAGATCCGTTCGCCAATCACGCCGCTTGCCTTCCAGATCTTCTCCTTCTGCTCGATCTGTGCTTCAGCAACATCCATAAGACGGTGGATGTAGCTTCTGATATCTTCGCCGCAGTTCACGAGAATGTACTTATCCTGTGGATAGACAATCTCGCGACCCCCTGAGACGCCATCGGCACCAACGCGGCTCAACATCTGATGCGGGACGAGGGCTTCTCCTTTGAGGACGTCGGTAGCGTTGGCGTAGTTGATTTCGAGTTCGTGTATACGACCGACGAGGTGCTGATGATGAAGAATCCATTGACCAAGAAGACAGTTGCGAGCAGCTTCGAGTTGCGATATTCTCAAAGGATGGTTCTTTTTCATGTCATCAGGGTCTTCAAAACCAGTTGGAAGAATCGACATTAAACCGCCAGTAGATGAGTACTCGTGATCGATGATTTCAAGACACTCATTGGCATGCATGATCAGATCGTGGTGTGTCATATAAGGACGACGAACATCTCCCTCTCTGGCCGAAGGACCAAAATCCTCAACTTGTGTTAAAGGACAACGATGTTCGATACCGTGCACTTCAGACTCGGATTTGACGACATTGTGAAGAGCAAAAAGAGGATCATGGTGAGACGGGTCATCGTTCTCATAAGGAGTATTGAGGTCATTCAGCCAGTCAAAAGCTTCGTTCTTGTGGAAGATCCAACTTCCAGAATCGACGTCCCCTAAGCCTACAGGACGAGTGGTAGTAGACGGAGCAAGCTTGCGGATGATGTTGGTGAGAGATTGTGCATGCTGCTTGAGGGAGAGAAGGGTTGGAGGACGGCCGGACGAGAAGTAGGAGCAGTTGATGTGCTGTAGAAGTTCGAGATCCTCTAGGTCTAAGATGCCATTGTCTGGAGTGAACCAGTTGGACCTGTAGGAGGTTGCGTAATCGTTGGAAGGGACGTAGAGAGGTTGAGCACCCTCCTTCTGCTTTCCCATTGCTCGCAAAGATACCATCGTGAACTAGAATACAGGTGTTGGCACAGAGTGGTGAGAGAGTCACAGATTGATGGGACAGAGGCCTGAACAGGAAGACCATTCTTTGAGAGGATGCTAAGTATATCTATTCTTAAACAGATATAAGGAAATATTTCTAGTATTCTGTCACAATGCTGGTGCCTGTAAGGCCGTGTGATTGATTTGATGCTATTCAAAGAACAAAGAAACTAGTTCTTTGTTGAGAGTGCCATTCGCCATGGTCATGGTGGGCGCATAGACATTGTTTGAGCAATCAAAAGACTCGAAAGCGGTCAAATTGTTCGTTTCTTTGTCTTTTTGGTAAAAGGTTATCGGAAACACCGAGTATGAGATACATTGAGCCATTAACAATCAAGGTGCTCTGAGATTCAATCTTTCAGTATCATGAAAATATAACGACCATATCGTTCACAAACCTTGGTCATTTGTTGAGCGCTAAACATCTATCCAAGTATCACAAAGATCGATAGGATATGTCTCTTAGCACAAAAGTTTGTCTTGTCGCGCTGCTCTTGTTGGCGAGCCACAGTCGATATGAATGAAGTGCGAACTCATGCTCCCATATCCAGCCAGTAGTATCGATTTACGAATCTACCATTTCGTTTCCTCCAAAGAGCAAGCTAGCATCTCAGCTTACGTTCCACGCTGGTACAACAGGAAAGGGTTTGCTCCTCTCATACAAACATCTGTTCGCCGTTGTACACAGAAGGCATCACAGCTTTGCGTGCACTAGGAGCTCGCCTCTTTATGCAGGGTCGAGAGTTGCATTTCTGATGCATAGCCCAGGGAATGTAGGCTTCATCAAGGGCAACTTGAATTGAAGCCATTCTTTGTGTTCCAGGCCCAGATTCCAAGCCTCAAAAAACAACGGTTCGTTACCCAAGGTTCTCTACGATGAGACTTGACATGCTCCGTATACACGACAACAATTGAGGCAACTATTACGCCGAGTAGATTAGGAATGTTTAAGCAGACAGCCACAAGGTGAAACACAAATGCCGACACTCAGATCCAAAGACAACCAAGGGATGGTAGCCGATGGTTGTACGGCAATGCACACGTGACCGTGCTTGTGTTGAACAAAGGGCCGTACAATCAAGAGGCCTCGTCTTGACTCTCACGACGAGTTACAGACGGGAACAAACGTTCTAGAGTAGTCCGTGATAGTGACGCAGCCATGGGAGGCCCAGTTTGTGAAGCCGCAATATGCTTTGTTAGGCGACGTTTGCGGTAACGGCCACGGCCACGCTGCAAGCAAAGCAAAAGCAGAGCCAAAAATTGAGGGAGACATGTGGGAATTCAATAAATTCACGTCAGAGGAGATGTCATTGGTCGGGACGCGACATCTGGAAGGTTGATGCGTCAAGATAAAATTACAGGCACGTACCTCGGCCCAGTCAGTGCCAGTTTGAGAGTGAGAGCTTGACGCCAGAAGCAGACCATTTCAGCTCAACCAGCATCATCCTGATTGCGCTAGGGCCAGATGAAGAATGGCGCATGCATTTGTGGAGAGTCTAGCCCGTTGGAATGAATGATTGACTGGGGTACGTCGATGAGGTCGTGATCGTAGTATTTTCGTTCTCAGATCTTGAGGCCAGTTCTGAAGAAATGACTGCAGAATCTCTATCGCCAAGCGGTGAGAGGGAAAGTCATGATGTCGTCCAAGGGATTAAAAGACACTGATGGGCATCAACATTGACAGACTAAAAGAACAAAGGATGGTCTAATGATCAAGATAGGGGCACTGAATGGAGCGACTCTTGCTCGATGAACAGTAGCGCAAAGACCATGAGTGATAGCCAAGTAAACAAACCAATGGAGCTCACGGGGTAATTATGATCGTAGAGACAGTGACTGCACTGTAAGTCAGATCGTCATGAAGCTGCCGTTATGGGGAGACGTGATTTAACTTGGAGATCGGGATAGAAGAAAAGGAAGCTAATAATGTAGTTGATGTCATTGGCGTCGAGGACGGGACTGAATGTTCCGGAGTGAGGGAGTCAGTTGGGCTGTGATGAATCGAAATGGTAGCGCCACGGGAATGAGAATGAGAATGAAAGAGTCTGAGTCTCAGAGACTCAAAAGGTAGCGGAGATTTCCAGGCTTGGCAGACACTCCCAAGTCCTAAAAGGGGAGACGATTAACATTCCGATCCGGATCGTCACTGGGGTTGATTCATTGACTTTTGACAGAGACAGAGAGAGTGTGTGGTTGTGCTCATGCCCACTAACTAACTCGATGGCGGATGGGTTCAATGATTAGGGATGGTTGTGGTTGTGGATGTGGTGTTGATGGAAGCATCTGACATCACAGCATCCAGATAAAAAAGTCGATCCCTGTCAAGCTGTCTCGTCTCTGCATGCATGGCAACACGGGAGAGCGTCGTGGCTGTGCCTCTGTTTGATCGAGTGTAGAATCGACGACAGTAGCTGAACTGGACAGTCAAAAAAGACGTTGATGCATGATCTAGATCGAGGCCGTGATCCTCATGAGGCACAGAATAGCCAAGTCTAGACTTGAGATGCCGTAAAACATCGGCAACAGCCTCACAGACTCACTCTGTTACAGCCCAAATTCCTTTTTCATTTTGTCTTGTCTCCCTGGCAGCCCCTGCCCGAATGCCCGTGCATCATGAACTGAGGCATCACATCACGCAGCACCAAATGAATTTTAGTGAGCGTGACTATTTACAGTAGCGCAAGGGCAGCGGGATGAGGTGTCCACGTCGCAGCGGATAGTGGGTTTGTCCCGTAGCCAAGCTTCAACAGCCGAAATTGAGGAGGAGGATTGATTTCGTACGCGGACAGGACAGGCCCCGACCCTTTTGGAGATTTCCAGAAATAAAGTTTTGGGGGGTTGACAATGAATGGGATCATGAAGTACTGTACTCTTCAGAAACAGGGTCTTGTTTTAGAGTATCATTTTTCGTATTTGCCCAGCCATTGATTGCCATTCGTTTCATATCAATCCCACAAATCGCATGTGTATTGTACAAGTTTTACCGGTTTCTCGTTTTACTGCCACCGTCCTATCGTCCGGGATCAAAGCGTTCCATAACCTGAAGACGATCAGTTTGCATGCGGAGAAGGGCAGTGATTTGCAATGCCTTCCAAGGCCAGCTGTCCCAGGTTCCAGATAGAGATAGAGAGAGAGTGCCGGGGCCCTGGCCTCTGGCCTAGGCCCTCCACTCACTCCATCCATCCATCCATCTTCAATTACCGCTTGGTGATGATGCA